ACGGGTCGACGGCGGTGACGTTGATAGACGCCAACTGCTGCATCACGAGGATTGGCTGGCTGGATGATATGAGTCCGGAACCACTCAGACTCCCCTGCCAGAACTCTCCAGGTTCCAGTGATATCTCTTCATATCCTGGGACGTCGAGTGTGGTTCCGTTAAAGTAAGCGACGATTCGGTAGGTGTTGGCATCGTCACTTCGGGCTGCGGTGTAGATGTGTTCCTTCCCCCAGCTCATGACGGGTACGAGCTGCTCTGTTAACGTATCGCAATACGTTCCCGGATTTTTCGCACATTCATTGCCGCTAAATGCGGCAACCGGTTTGTCAGTTTGAATGATACTTCCAGTTAGGTCATCAGATTTATCCTGCCCCTGGATGTGAACTGATTCCAGTCTATTCACCGTGAATTTTAGAAAGTCACCAGCATAGTAAGTCTGTCCTTCGAATGACACGGCACCGCTTAAGATTACCTGAACCGAAGTGGATTCTTCTGTACCGATGACGGCAAACTGCGAACCGAAAGAAGGCTTAGCCGTCACCACCACGTACTGTTGGCCGAGGCTGCTCACGGGTATACCAAGAAAGCCGTCGGTTGTCCACTTCTGGTTTAGAAATCCGAACACTGATATCTCATCTGAGGCAACGATCTCGAGGGCTTTCAAGCTACGCTCGGTCCCATTCATCGTGAAGTCAAGGGGGATGTTGATCTGTTGAGATCCCCTAGAGTGAAGGAGCATTTCTTCTTTGAATGGTGACCCATCTATCTGAAGATTGCTGCTGATGTTGACCGTGGTCGGCTGATCACTCAATGATGCTATCAAAACAGACAGCTGCCTGGTCGATTCGAAATCAACCACGGTATCAGTGAAACCAATGATAAAGTGTTTACCTTGAGTTTTTCCCGAGCACTGCGCCGAGGCTGACGCCGGCTTCTCGGGAATGGCAAAGAGCAAGAGTGCCACGCACAAGAAGTATTGTGCAATTCGATGATCCATGCTGTGGAACGAAATTGGGAAATTTGAAAAAAAACTTCAAAAAATAAAAAGTACAGTTTATTTTGAGCGAATTGTAAAATTGTTTTGTACTTGAGAATTTTTCTTTTGTAGTTATTGCCAATGGTAGCAAAATCTTACAGAGAGCGATAATCGTCAGCCAAAAAAATTAACTGTTACTTTCAAAAGGGAAAATACAATCTCTAACTACTTTAAAAGAAATTTATGGTTTGAAAATCCAAGAGAACTTATCAGAGTAGATAAGTGTACTAGCCAAGCGCAGAAAGAAATCTATAGTCAGCGGCTAGATTAAAATTCCTGAAAACTAATGATTTGCAAGCGTCATTTGCATATCATCGACGTAATTATGCTAGGCTTATAAACATCAACCATATTTATTTAATATTCACACACCGACGGTGCCAGCGCCAATACGAAAATGAGTAAAAGTAATCAACTTGATTATTACAACATCTGGTATGCAGTACTTCGATCTCTGAAATGCGTACACAATGTGATTTATTTCGTACCTTAAATAATACATTAACCTGCTATTGCCTGATTTCAGGGTGATTTTCTTATTGTTTGTAACATATTAGTAAGTATACATGTATATATCAAATTTCAGGGGAAAATTTCGTATACATCGAATTTCAGGCAAAATGTCAGATTCCGCTTACATCCCGGCATTTCATGATTCAATTTCTTAAATATTACTAGTTCGACATTGTACACAATTTGTTTTTGTCGAAGCTATAGGTAACAACTTAGAAAAAGTGAATGCATTACCTGTTTGCGTGATTGTCGTCACTTCTGCAACGATCACAAGCTGTTTGTCTGAAAGCCAGATGCCAACTGTGCTTAAGCACCCTTAACCCACCGATATATGTAGAAATACTACACTACACTCATAAACTGGGGACTTTGACAGCACGTTATAAAGAGGTTTGAGCGGCATACCTACATCCTTTTAGAAAAGTGTTCAGTTTCTGAAGTAATGTACTTTGGAAAAAAAACCCCAAATTGACAGTACATGGCTCCAGGCGTTTGCCGCGAAAAGTTTTCCAAAAATGTGTAGTATTTCACGCCCTTGTTTTCAATTTCCAGGCTAAAATCAGTAGGCCGTCAAAAGAAATCAACTGAAGAATCCTTTGTCCCCGGGAGGAAATAAAGCAAAAAATAAAAGCTTTCACTCAGTGAGAATATTGCCACAGGGTGGAATCCGTATTCCTTGTTCGTGATTTGAAAGAAGTGAAGTTCATAAAGCTTTCATTTCTATTCATCCTTTCATTTCTAAACATAGCCTTTTACAGGTTGGCTTCATACATTTAATTGACAGGGGACAATCTTGATAGACGTTTCTCGGATGCTGTATTGTTACTTGAAAATTCCAGGCTCAAACGATCATGCCGCCAAAAGAACCTAAATAACAAAGATGGCTTTATCCGCAGCAAAGTTTGAAAGCTGAGAAAAACCTGCCAGATCTCTCATGTGGAACATTGCCGGGGGGTGGCATATGTGTTCTTTGTTCCTGGACATTCCTGATTTGCAATGCTGTTCAAAACTTTCTTTTATAAAATATCCTCTGTAAACTAGATGTCAATACGCTACGTCTATCCATAAAAATGCTGCCCTGGATTTGTTTTTCTAATTTTCAGTCTCTTTCATGGGAAACCACTCGAATACCATGATTGGTCGAAAGTTGCAAGTTATTGAGGTCACCGACAGGAATCGACCACCAATTGGTCTCAACCTGATGGTCAAGATGCGGGTATCTTGCATAATGAGTCGCCTAATCTACCCGCACGCGTTTTTCCTGAGGAAGGTTAGAGGCAACTTCATAAATAATTCAGTAGTTTCGATGGGGAATGTCTATTCATGAGCCAAGAACGGTTACGTCTCGATAGTCCGAAGTACCATTGGTCCGAAGTCCCATTGGTCCAAAGGTTCATTGGTCCGACGAAACGTAATACTGTCGCAGTTCCACTGGATCAGGTTGACTGACCCTAGTCCTAGCCCTAACCCTAACCCTAATCCTACGGGGCGTCGGACCAATCTAATCCTACGGGGCGTCGGACCAATGGGGGGTCAGACCAATGGGACTTCGGACAAATGGGACTTCGGACCAATGGGACGTCGGGCCAGGGGGACGTAGTACCAATGGGACGTCGGACCAATGGGACGTTTATACCAATGGAACGTATAGAGCAATGGGCCGTCGGACCAATGGGACGTCGGACAAATGGGACGTCGGACCAATGGGCCGTCGGACCAATGGAACTTCGGAACAATGGGATGTCGGACCAATGGTACTTTGGACTATACAGACGTCCCCGAAGAGAGCGATGACAGCAAAAGCATTGTTATTATTAAGTCAAATAGTAACATTAAATCATTTTAAGGAACGGTTGTCGTCAAGCTGGTAGCCTAGTGGATAGCGATACGAGCCATACGAAAGAACTATCCCTCGTTCGAATCCACCGATGTTCATTTCTATCATGCAGGAAGGAATAGTTTCTCGACTATTGTTTCTTCTCCAAATTTATCGATTGGATAATTTTAATTGAAAGGAAAACAAGAGAACGAGAACATAAATTTGTTGCAACGATTCAAAGGTAACCACTGAAATTAAACCCCCTAGGGTAAAAACATACGCTGCCCACAAAGCATTACATACATTCCCAGTATACGTTCACGCTCCATAGACTAGCCTGTAGTAACCTCAACATCGCCAGGGCTGTTCAAAACGATTGCAGCACTTGTCCTGAGTTCCAACACAGAGGGTCGCTGTATAAGTTGCACGGCCATGAAAAAAACCACGCGTTCATGCTAAACGCATTTTTTGCTTCCTTCAAAACGCCCCCAGTGCGTCAGAAGTCTGTAGTATGTAAAACTCGTTTTCTCCCCGCCCATTTTCCATAACCAACTTTTTAGGCCAATTTCGGATTCCCTGGCCTTCTCTTTTAGTACCCAACACTTGCCATTGCCATCTTAGTCTATGGAGTAGACGCTGTCCTGCTTTATCGTCTGTGATATGCGTGTAGTTTATGCAAAACAACACAGGGACTTGACCTCCAGATTCTGACCAGTCAGCGGGCACCTTCTGTCGTGTCTTAGGAAACACAATGTATGACAATTAAGCATGGGAGCTATTGACCAATCAACAGCTTTGGCCGAATTTCTGCTCTAAGTGACGTCACAAATTCGAAATGCGGCTCCGATTGGCTTGCATGCAGGATTGCATACATTTTACATGCACTGATAAGAACACGTGAACGTCTGATCCTGAGACGTTGCCGTTCAGGGCAACATCCAGGGTGTTGAGCAGTACGCGCCCACCACTACCTGACCTCTCACCCCGGCATTGGATCATTTGCATGTGCAAAATGTTTGGACACGTATGCAAATTTGGAATAGTATGGTGCCAGCCTGTGCTTTACATTAGCGTTTGTTTTTGTATGCGGAGAGTCTGGGGTAAAAACAGAATCGATTCGTCGCGGCGTGAGTTACGTAAACACGAGGTCTTTTTAAGTATAAATGTTACAATCTTCTCCAGCCAATATGCAGTATCACATTTCATATTAGTTTTGAGCAAATTGGAAAGGAATACTTTCGGGAAGGTGTGGACGTTATAATTAAAATGAACGTGAAAAAACGAAATGCACGTTGGAAATAACACCAAGTATAGCGAATAAATCCATTACTTTCCAATTGCGGTATCGAGTCAGGATACAGGAAGAATGTTTCCTACCCTGGGCTTACTATTGGAAACGAGGTTGAAAATAAAGTAGGCCCTGGGACGAGGTTGCGTTCAAGGTTCTAACAACTTTTTGTTCGCTTTGTGACGTTATTTTATCTTTTCAGATAGAACAAAATACTTGCCACCGAGCAGATCGGAATGCAATTCATGGGGGTCAGAACCAAATTCACAATGTGCTTATTTTTATCTCTTTATTTGGCGGGCGCTGTTTTTTTCTCTCTCACTAACCAACGTAATTGTGCTGAAATGTCAGGTGACTCAGCAGCAAATAGCTTGGGAGAAAAGAATACAACAAAAGAGAGAAGTGAAAATCCCAGGTAAGCAGAACAGTCTCATGATAGGGTTGTTTTCTGGGGACTGACTTAGTACGAATAGTACACCGTGTCCCGGTAAACATATGCATGAAGGAATGGCTATACATTTCTCAAAAATATAGAATCGTGGATTTATTTACTTAAATATTGTAAAGCGTACAGTTTAGTGGTGAATCTCTCATGAAGATCCGTTGGTGCTAATTGGACATATGGAGGCCTATCTGATTTGGCTTTATTCCAATTAAATAAAAACTGAAATAATAACACAAGTCCCATAAGAATGCTAAATATGTACGACACGGCACCTCACATGGCTATGTTATCTTGTATAAGCCACATTCCAACGTTACAAACTTTGCTAAGACTCGTTCTTTGCTAAGATACAAGTTCTGTTAAAACACAATAACTTTGTTCAGTTAAAGCACAATAATAACACTCATGTGACATTATTAAAGTAGGGCCTAGCCTTCAAGGCCTGTATCTGTCTTGAACTACAAATGCAGACACCTGTAATTACTTCAACACAAAACCCTCTACTGTGTGATTTCCATTGGGGTGGGGTAAAATTAGCATTTGAAGAGCTGTGACATCTCTGGATTTTATCAACAGATTTTCAAAGGAATTGGAGTAGTTGTAGACAAGACTGTATTTACAGCGCTACAAAATTGAACACTAAATCTATGAATCCTTTTTAAGGCAGGTACGATTTGCTAACTTGCCAACCGATACAAATAGAACAATTCGGCAACAGGCCTGACCCAATGCTCTCACCCCAAATGCTACAAAGGAGAGGACTTACCCGAATTTGTTTGTCCTTGATTTTGCAATTTTTCCCAGGTAGAAATAAGTCAGAACAATTCCATACATGAACGTGACTTTACGCTCTACCTGAATACTTCAATACAATGGACTTAACCCGACAGTTCCCTGGTGAATGTTGCAATTTCTCCAGGTAATATTTTACATCACAAAGAGAGATTTCAAAATAATTGTGTGTAATGCTCAAACTGCACAAGGACATTCGTCTATAGCGACATGTACGATTTTCGTCATAAAGTGATTGGTGATACATAACCTACGCAGTTATACTTTTTGTGTTGCGGACAAACTGACTGGGAATTTGTGGAGCGATTGAACAGAAAATCATAAGGTAAGTGTTATTTGTTTCCACGCACATTTTATAACTAAATTTAAAGAGTAAGACACTGTTCAGAATGTGGAATGTTCAACTGATTTCAAAAAAGTTGTGTTTGCATTAAAAGCATTGCCAGGAAGTTCTCGAAGAGAACTTTGAAAAGACAGTGTTGTTCTGCTTTGTATCCTGGCACATGCTCTATGATGTTCAGAAAGCACGAGTCTTATGTTATGCATGGCATACGTTGCTGTTATATTAAACAAATTTGTTGCAAAGTCGAAATAAGGGCTTTTTCCCGAGCTGCACATTGTAAGTAAATTTAAACAATGTTTTGTTATCCATTGATTATATTTAATAAAATGAATCCCAAATTTCTATATTTGTCCAGAAGTTAGAAAGCTGCGCTCATAATGCTCGATTGTATAATACAAACAACACGTTGGCCTGTTTTCAAAGTTTCATTTTGTGCAATAAATATTGAGGAATTTAGGAATTTAAAATGCAGGGATTTAAAATTAAAGATTCTGAACTACATGCCTATTTTTACGCCATCATTTTTATTTTAGATTCATTGATTAAGTTTTTGTCCCGCTAGTCGTCCAAAGTTTATTACAATACTGACAAATTATAGCTTTGAAATCTGATAGAAAGGGTTGTATCGTCTGACGGTACACAGAAATCTGCATAACATGTATTTGCTTTGTCTGATGTTTCAATTTCACTGATTTCTTGGTTCGTATTGTGGCGAAACCGATCCCACTTCTGACCCCATTTGTGGCGGAACCGGGGGTTGGCGGAACCCAGGGGGACTGGTCTTATTTATCCCAGGACTCTAGCCAACTCCTCTTATCCTACAAAAATATTAATTAGCCTAACGAACGGATGAGCGGCTACCCAAAAGAAAGGGGGGACAGTTAACAAACGGTGGACTAAGCCTAATGCTAATTCGCGCGCAACCTTCGCAATACGCGATGCTGATTGGTCAATGCACACCATGAATTATTAGTCTCCTGATCACGCAGCACCATTCATTCATGATTGGTCCACGCGCACTTCAGCATTATTAACACGCACCAAATGTCCTAGATCACGCGCATAAATAATTCCTATGACTTAGACTCCTATACAAGTCTACATATAATATACATGTACCCCTGTTTCGTCACAGTATTCCGTTGACAAGAATTTGTGTGCTACTATTTAAAAAAAAGAAAAAGAAGAGGGGACATTGGCCTCGTTGTGTAATGTAAACCTTGTTTTAATCAAATTAGTAAACTTTCTCAAATAGTTAAATTCTCACGCGCTTTAAACAAAATGACAGATCATAATACGTAGTCTATAAGAGAATTGCCAAAATTTTATAATCGGCGTATCGATTCTTTCTGTAGGGTCACGTTTGCAGCTCTTCCTGACAGCATAGACGTGTGTTTCTTTGGACAGGATTTTCTGTGGCTTGCCATAAGTTGACCAGGTGAGATCAAAATACAAAGTCCAGTCCACGACAGAAACGTTATTGTATGGACGTCCCCTTATAATTGTTTGGTTGTCAATTCCGACCGACATGGGCGTCGCGAGGGGGGGGGGGTAAGGGGGGGGCGCTTGCCCCCCTGGAAAAGCCCCCCCCCCCCCAAAAAAAAAGGAAGAAAAAAAAAGAGAAAAAAAGAAAAGAAAAAGAGGCGCGAAGTCATAGTGGTGTAAATTAAATGAGTGGGGGGGGGGGGGGCAAAATGTCCCTGCCCCCGTCTAAAACTGAGAAATCGAGAATTTGTTCAGAAATACAAGAATTTTTTTGGGAAAAATATGTTTTGCCCCCCTCTAGAAAAAATCCTGGCGACGCCCATGCCGACCGACCCTATTTTAGGTCCCGACCTAAGAAAACAGGTCTTATTGCCGCCGTTTGTAACCGTTACAAACAAACAAAAACACCCAAATTGAAAAAAAAGGAATACCAAATTCAGGCAATCAAGTTCTGTGTAATTTAATAAGTTATTGCTAATAATATCCGATTTCAAGAAAAGCACCGCTAAAAGCAACAGCTGCAGTCCAAATAGATGCGAGGGTGTTGCCTCTCATGATATCAGCCAACACCTTATTAAGCTGCATGATACAGATAATTATAATGTAAGTCAACTACATCTTGCCAAAGATGGCTTTACTATTTCAGGCCTCACAGTGACCCTCTTCATCAATGTAGATTTTTTTAGATGCAGGATGGCAGCTCAACCAATCATCATCTCTCTCCGTTAGTGCGTTAGTTAGTTAGTAACAAACGTTGACATGTCTATTGCTCCTACATATTTTGACCGATTTCAAGCAAACTTTGTCAAAAGTATCAGGAGCCCAGCCCCAACATGTCACATGACCAAACTGGGGTCAAAGGTCATCATGGGGTCACTGGGGTCAAAAATCTGATTTATTGAAATCAAAACACTAATCCTTCCAGAAATTAAATGACACAATCACGTGACTCATGCATGAACACAAATTCGTTGGCACGCAGCTTCCGAGATATTTCTGATCGAGCTTGTTTTATTAACCTTTAAAAGTAAAAATGTAGGTTTTTTTTTTAAAGGTTTTCCAATTAAAAGCGCCAAAACACGGGCTATTATTTTGGATGCAAAACCGTGCATTTTTTTTTAGCATTAGGTAGCAGAAATATAGTGAATTGCTAATACTTCAATTCTTTACATTAACAAAATTATCAATTTTATGCAAACTGCCAAATTCTCAAAACACTTAAAACAATCTAGGCGTATATTGTTAACGTGGTTATTTTGGAATTATGATAATTATTGGAATTATTGACTGCGGGTTAAATAGATTCTTACAGTTTTCTTTAAAAAAAATCTATTGAAATGTATGCCAAAATAAAAAAAAATATTTATAGGTATTTGTTTAATAATAGGTTATATAGGTTAATTTAAATATGAAATAGGCTCCCGAGTTGAAATAACATTTTATATGTTGTTAGAGGTTACGATGTGAGGCCTGCCAATTGATTCAACAATATCAACTCACGATCAAATCTTTGCAGTAAAACAAAGGGACAATACCCACTTTGCATCGTACATTTCAGCAATCTATTACGGGTGTAAACGCAGGTTTTTTTCCTGCAGGTTTTATATTTTTTTGCCGACCTACGTACCAACCTTACTTCAGAGGCCAAAAATATGAGAAATATGGAAATAAAAGGGACGCCCTCATGTAAACTCCGTTACAGTGGCGTCGTCTTTGAATGAAACTGTTAATGATTTTTTAATTTAAATGATTGACATAATGGCTCATACCAGAAAGGGTCAAATGATGTAAGTGTTTGTAGAGTTGGGCCATCCTTTGGTCTTGCCTATTCTAGGGGTGGAGCTAATTTCTCGTAAATGGGAGAGCACAAGAGCCAAACTCAGCAAAACGGTCTTTAAAATATTGTTCATGTTTTACATGTACATTTATTTATTCAAGTATTTATTTTAAAAAATCATATAGGTTTTATTTTCCATTGTGTAGGCGTGGTCAATATGTGCAAGAGGCGGAATATTTGAATTCCTGCTCAAATTTCCGTATTTAAGAGTAGCAAAAAAATCTTTTGTTGTGATCATAGGAGCCTAAACGGGTGTTTTTTCCCTTTTGAACACCAAGACTGTAAGATCTAAGGATGTGTTCAAATATTAAGGCACTTTAGAAAAAGCTAGAAACGTTTCTTTTTAAAGCCTGGGAATTCTTATTTTTTAGTTAATATGAATTGAGCAGGCACGCAGCAAAAATCCTCCAAGCAGTTGACGGAAGAAGTCGACTGCAACTTTCAGTGACATTTTAAATTTCAGCGCTACCTTTCACACAAACCAACCCCTCCCACAAATGAAGCTTTTTTTTATTTATCAAAATCTATGATCCTATCCTTTAATCTCAAGTTACACTGCAAAAATGATGCTTAGAGTTTAAACACTTGGTACCTACTTCTTTCACATGTCTGTCATTTTAAACTGTTTTTTTTTGCACAGCATGAAAGCCTGCCAGTGCCATCAATAAACACTTGTAAAAAAGTAAAGTTTATATTTTAAAGTTCGTTTTTCTTAGACAGGTAATAAAAAAAAGGGAAAAATGGTTTAGCATGTCATTCGACTTGAACCCCATAAGTCATTTTTATTAACCATATATTAACAATGTATTCTTCATGGTAATAACAGGCTTTCCTCCGTTGACTTAACATGTCACAGACATCTACAAATACAAACACGTCGTACATCCATACATGTGTAAAACGTGGGTAAAATAAGTTTTTAAATTGTTTTTAAACTTTAAACACGATTTTTACAGTGTTTAAGCAATCAGACAATAATATATCTATTTCGCCACTACCGGTACAATGATAATTTTTGTACATTCGAACTTTCGATGTCCGAAAACTGTTTGAGGCTCCTTACAGAACTGTCATTTTTTTTTTTACCACAAGTGCAGCATTGTACCCTAAGGAAACCTTCCTTTCCACTATACCGCCTCTTTGCACACGTGGGCCACGCCCAAAAAATGGGGAAAAAATGTCGCCTTCAAATTTCGAAAATCTGTCTGATTTCTACTCAGCATGATAAACAAAAGAATCATTGTAAATGGCTAAGACGCTTTTTCTCGATTGGTCTTTTCGCCAACAACGTTTTAGAAACGCCCGTATTTTAGTGAACGACCCAATTTTTTTCTGTAACTCCTCTCACCTACTCGGTAATTAAACTAAGTCTTGAAAAATTGTTTTTTTTTTTTCAGAATGAAAACTGTAATGAAGAGACATCTTTTCTGGTTGGTCATTTGTATGGCCTTTGTATTACCAGAAATGCCGGTGTCTGCTCTGGATCTGCAGTTACCTGGTAGCAATCAGCCCAAATGCTTTGGAATCTCAAGAGGTAAACGCTTTGTAATTGGCTTTACTGATAACACCGATGAAAGCTCTCATACGAGGAAGCTGTATATTCTCGTGGTTGCTTTTAGCAATAAGCAAACCTCCGTTACTATAAGCAGTAAGTTTCAAGTGGATGGGGAGCAGTTTCAGGAGAGCTTTGTGATAGAAGCAGGTGGATTTCGACGAACCAATGTTCCAGTTGAACTAATCATGAACGGCAATGAAAGAAGTATGAAAGGAATCGAAATAAGGGCTTCTAGTGAGGTGTCTGCATATGGTCTGATTTACCAAGATTACACAACGGATGGTTTTCTTGGTATACCCACAAACAATCTGGGTATGCAGTACGTAGCTGTCACACCTACGCAAGGTTTATTGCCGTCACAGTTTTCTGTCATCGGTACAGAAGATTCCACCTCGGTTCAGGTTACATTACAGGGCACTGTTACATTCGAAGGACAGACTTATAATGCTGGTGACGTGCTGAGCTTCATAGTAGATAAGTTAGAAGCCGTTCACATTCAAGGACGTGATACAGCACAGGACTTGACAGGAAGTATTGTTCAGACCAACAAACTGGTATCTGTGTTCAGTGGTAATGAATGCGTAAGGCAGAGCGGTTCAGCTTGTGATACAGTGACGGAGCAATTGGTACCCGTCAAAAGTTGGGGGCAGAAACACATCTACACAGCAGCCCGGGATGATGACGGCAACAACTACAAGGTTGTTGCTTATTTGAGTGGAACAATCGTTACAATCCCTGGAATTCAAGATCAGTCACTTGAACCAGGAGAATTTTGGGAGGGTAGCTTGTCCGGTTCCGGACTCGTGTCGTCCAGTAAACCAACCCTGATGATGCAACAGTTGGCATCCGTAAACGGCAGGACGGTCGATCCTTCATTTATTCAGGTTCCTGCAGAGGAACACTTTGGGTTTGTGTTTGGATTCACGACCCCTCCTCATTCTGGAGGTGATTCCGGTGGTTACTTCAATTTCATCAATATCATTGTGAAAAATGAATCTCGACAAACTGTGTATCTTAATCGTTTTCCAATCAACGACACAAATAATATACACGAAAGTGATGTTCCTCACACCAGTTACACATCACTTACGGTTCAACTTCCAAAAGGTGAAGGTGTCTACTACGTCGAACAGACAGATCGGTATTCATCACCACTCTCTGTCATTGTCTATGGATATGAATCTTACGAGACATATGGCTACGCTGCTGGTCTGTCTCTCCCCAGCAATAAACAAGTCCTAAGTCTGACACCACACTATTTGCGAGAACTTGGTGGCGAGCTTTTCACGATGACTGTTCCCTGTTTGCAAACAAATGCTATATCCTTTCAAATTACTGCAAAGTGCAAATTTGCCACTGGCTTTGGAGACGTCATTGTTTCTGGTGAACGCACCGACTCTTACACTGTTGTCTGCATCACTCCCACCTTTTACAAGAACGGACTTACATCTGTCTATGTATCACTTGACGATGGTGGATCATTTCCATACTCCGGCATTGTCTACGTTGCATCTGAAGAGGATCTGCCGCCACTAGTACAAATTCAACAGGTAAATTCTGCGTATGGAGATGGCATCATTGACCTAACCTCAGATGATCCGATCGTGTTCTCCTGGGATCCTAAAAATCTTGGTGAAGGAGTTTCACATGTGACTGTTATGACCCAAGGCACAGATAACGACAACGATGGGAATCCAGTCCTGATGGAAGGTGTTGCAGTGAAGAACCATGTCATAAACAACGGTAGTTTGATGATACATCCAAGAGACCTCCAATCCCTCACCGGTGATGGTTTGTCACTCGCAGCATTTTATCTTACTCCGTCTGGATTGAGAAGACGAAGAAATGTTGGAGCTTTGTTGTGGCGCTTAAGATATTATGGTCCTGCTGCAATTATAGTTACTGCAATCCCCTGCGAAGTTTCAAAGTACCAGTTAAAGAAGACTGTGCCTAAAGGACTGCCTCCATGTCCTTGCAACACGGGACAAGCTGACCGAGACCTGAACTTCCAAGAGGCGAATTTTGCGAATTTCTTCTTTCATCCGGGTGCTGAGAACTGTTATAGGTCTGTTAATTCATTGCCGACTGGAGCAGGTCAACAGTGTTGTTACGGAACAGACGGTAATATCCTGGTAGGTCCCCCTGGGGGAGGAACAGCCGATAGGTACAGTCCAGGAGAGCATTTCTGGAAGCATCAATGGTTTGATGTTCTTCCTCGGCTTTGCTTATGCAAACTGTCAAACAAATGTAAAGAATATTACAAGTACAGGCCATTGGATGATTGTTCTGACTACGACCCACCTCGACCGGCTGGGGGCACTGGGGATCCTCATCTGACAAGTCTGGATGGCTACAAATTCACTTTCAACGGAGCTGGGGAATTTCTGATGGCGTCATCTGCAGTACATAACTTAACCTTTCAAGCCCGTATGGAGAGGTACCGCAACACCAACGCCTCTGTGTACACGGCATTCGTTCTTCAAACCAACGATTCCTCCAAAGTCCAGGTGCAGATGTCTAACATGAACGAGACACTGATTCTCGTGGATGGTGAGCCGTTGCGTCTTGACTCCATCCCCATCAAAGTTCATCACCTCAGAGGTGTTCGAATCCGCTTCAACTCTGAGATGACCAAAATCAACATAGCATTCAGTGCTGGCATTGCTGTCACCGTGTACATTGATACCGAGGTGATGTCTTTCATCGCCCAACTTGACACCAAGTTCCAGGGTCAAGTTCAAGGACTTCTTGGAAACCTAAACGGAAACCCAGATGACGACCTTCAGTTCCCAAACGGAACCCTTCTGAAGCCTGGTTCTTCGCTGAAAGAACTTCATGAATTTGGTTTGGAGTGGTTGGTGGCTCCAGAGGAGTCCATATTCACCTACATTTCCCCATTTGACTACAGCACATACCACTTTCCTAAGTTTTCCCCGAACTTCGAGGTTCCTGATCTGAACCAAGTGAGTCAGGAAATCAAGGACCTGTGTGGCGATTCCATGGAGTGTGTCTTCGATGCGGTAATCACCGGCAGCCTGTCTTTTGCTAACGAGACTCTTGTGGTAACAGTCACAATAACTAAAGTCCAGCAAGGATTGGTCAAGATTGTCAGTTGTGGCTACCCGGGTGATGTGGAGAACGGGTTGCTGTCGGGGTCTGTGTATCTCGTGAATACCACTGTGGATGTGGCTTGTGATGACGGCTTCACCTTGAAAGGGTCTTCCAAATTGACCTGTCTTGAGGATGGTCAGTGGTCGTCTGATCTCCCTGTTTGTGATGACGTCAACTGTGGCTACCCGGGTGATGTGGAGAACGGGTTGCTGTCAGGGTCTGTGTATCTCGTGAATGCCACTGTGGATGTGGCTTGTGATGATGGCTTCACATTGAAAGGGTCTTCCAGATTGACCTGTCTTGAGGATGGTCAGTGGTCGTCTGATCTCCCTGTTTGTGCTGGCATAAAAAATGGAGAGAAGGTTGGGCTACCACCCGGCATCATAGCTGCTATTGTTGTTGGTGCCGTGATTGCTGTACTTGCAATCTGTGGTCTGATTTACATTTTCAGGAAGAGAAACATGAAGAGAAACAAGTACAAGGTGGTCCATACGCGAAATGTTTATTTTTCTAAGACACAGCCATGCAGTGACGATTGACGAAATCATTGACTCTAATTAATGTTCTAGACGGTCCTTGTTGCATTTAGGCCATGTCGAAGTCAGAAGCTTAATAACACTGCAGAGGTATCACGACAGCAGTTGCAAATTGTTTGCTTTTGATCATGATCATTTTAGCCAAATCATTAATTAGTACAATTTATATCGCCGTGCTTAATATGTATACCTTTTAGCCAGCTTATTAGATATAATTTCGCTTAGATTACCAAGAAAAAAATATGAATTGAATTACACAATCACCTGCGTACATAACCAGGATATGAGTCTGAATCGGATGCATATTTGTAACAAGAAGCAGAAGTTGTTACAAAACCAAGTACCTGCCAATTAAAAATTGTATGATTCTATGGTATTTCGTGAAAATGAAATTGAGTTTTGAAAACGACAGTTATATAATTATGCATGTATTCAAACATGAACATGTTATGTATACTAAACTTATTATGTAAAAGTGATTGCTCTAGTGATTGTCATTACAAAAAACGGAATGTAATTAATATGGTTCATAGGTTTTATAATGTTAATGGTTGAATGATGTTTTAAACTTTGCTTTATGAAAACTTTCCAAATAGCCGTTTGCTTAGACTTTTGCACAGAGTCGGTTTATTTTAAGAATGTTTACGTTTCAAAGGTAAAAGGGTTTAATTGATTTCAGGATTTAAAAACAAGATAACATTTTAATTCCCTTTTTTCATCTAATATTACACAAAGTTTAAAAGTAACGTTCGCGGTTATATATGTATTAGATGTTTTTATTTTAAACGTTTGAAAATCAAACATTGTAGTTATTAATTCTTAGGTTGTAACGAATGTAGATGGTTTAACCGATAAAGGGTTGTCAATACAGAATGAAGACCGTCAGCAAGTTGGGACCATGACAAGAATTTTACTTGGGAACATATTTTGTGAAAGTTTCTATTTCTGTTATATGCATGAAAACTCTTTGACATCCTTTTTTGTTAATTAATTTAGAAAGGTGTACTTTTTAAACTTTTTAAATGATCCATGGACATGCTTTCTCTGAAAAGAAAATCATAACTTGAAAACTTTAAGAGCGCATCACAAAAATGTTCAAGATTGTTGTTTACATCATACACCAACATCTGAAAAAAAATAACGAAATTTGAAACATTTTTATTTTCGTAATTTTAGGTTTAAAGTTATTTCGTTACGCATTTTCTCTGCGCTTCAAGCTACGATTTTGGTTTGATATTTCAAGAAAAGGAGGCAATTAAAAGAGCCTTAATTATGATGTACAAGTTGGCTTTCTGGATGCTAATTAGTCAAATGTTGGTTGACCCGAGCCAAATTACAAAAAAAATAAAAAATTCTGGGGGTTTTCTCATATAGGCCAATCATCACACCAAATATCGTTTAAATCTGTGAGGGTCGGGTGAAAAATCGTGTCGATCTGACACGGAATGACCTCTCAGCTTAGAGTAGAACAAGCCAACGATAACGCAACGTGTGACTATTATGGAATTAACGAAAATATTGAAATTACTACTTATTTCTGTCTAAACGAATTACAGCCTAGTAGATTTAAATACTTTTTAAGTATTATGGAGTGAATAGATAATCATACTTATTTAATATTAAGATTATTGTTATTGGCATGGGTGTACTTCAAATTGGTTTAATTTGCCGTTGAATTGTGATCAGATTGCTTGAACAGGTTTTAATTAAAACTTGCAAAAATATTGCCTTTATTACAAAGTATTCTCGCTTTTAAGTTTTACAGCGAAGTATAGATTAAAGCATATAGTTAAGTGTGTGAGATGTATCAGTGAATATCAATTTAATATGCAAAGTGTATTTGCCTAAAGGTTTTTATTAAAATATGCAGAAATATTGCATTAGCTATAACATATATTTTCCGCTTAGAACTATTACAGCGAAGTGGATAGACCGACTGTTGTTTTGAATATCATATCATCGTAACAATATTTTAACAGCAAGATGTATATAACGCTGATTTAACTTTGATTGTACTCAGATTTGAAACGGGGATTGCAAAGGTTTGCTATAAAAATGTCATGCATGCAGAATTTATTTCGAAAGTCAGGGTAACATCTATCAATCGAGTGTTCATTATTATGAGTGAAGTGTTTGTGATTTGTCAACAAAATAAATTCAATTCGAAGGGCCATTGAAAACAGCCAACTACATGTATAATTGTATTTGTTAACTTCAAAGCCTCATCTACCCCCTCCCATCCTAGCCACCCTCTTTGAACAATCAAGGAATCCATCTCTTTGCTTTTCAAAACTCATGTGACAGCCACGTTGTGCAACAGATTCAGGTAACAAAGATTTCCTAATCCAGATTGGTTTTCTTAACGCGGGACAAAGGTGCAGCTTGTTGATTCAACGAAGTAGGCAATCCAATTAATAATGAAATTATTGATGAAATTATTAATAATGAAAAAAATTAATAATGAAATTATTGGGCTCCATTCCAAAGAATGTTATGCTATTATGTACGACGCAGCACCCGACACTCCACATTAAATGTTTATTAGACATTGCTATGTTATCTTGTATTAGCCACATTCCAACATTACAAACTTTGCTAAGAAACGTTCTTTGCTAAGATACGTTAAGATACAAGTTCTGTTAAAACACAATAACTGTGTTCAGTTAAAGCACAATAATAACACTCATGTCACACAATTGAAGTAGGGCCTACAAGTCTTGGATCTGTCTTGAACTAGAAACGATCAGACACCAGTAATTACTGCTACACAAAAATCCTCTACTGTGTGATTTCCACTGCGGTGGGGTGAACTAGGAATTGGAGTAGTTGTAGACAGGAGTGTATTTAAAAGTGTTATACAAGTTGAAAACTAAATCTATGATGCCTTTTGAGGCAGGTCTGATAACTTGCCAACCGATAAAAATAGAACAAATTCAACTACAGGGCTGACCCAATGCTCACCCCAAATGCTACAAAAGAGAGGACCTACCCAAATTTGTTTGCCGTTGATTTCGCAATTTTTCCCAGGTACAAATAAGTCATAACAATTCCATACAAGAACGTGACTTTACGCTCTATCTGAAAACTACAATACAAGGGACTTCCCCGAGGTTCCTGGCTGAGTTTGCAATCTTTTTAGGGAAATATTTTACATAACAAAGAGGTATTTCATAAAAATCATGTGTTATGCTCATACTGCACAATTCCATTGGACTACACGTACGTACACGATTCTCGCTGTAAAGTGATTGGAAATACATGTTCTACGCAGTTGCACTTTTGGTACTGCGGACAGACTGGCTGTGAGTTTCTCGAGGAAATTAGCAGAAAAATCGAAAGGTATGTTTGTATTTGTTTCCATGGCCATATCGCCAAATTTTGTTAAATCTTCGACCTGAATTTAAATGGTACACTATTGGAAATTCCAAATGTTCAACTGATTCCAAAACATTTTGTTTCCATTAATAGTTTCGTTCCAAGGGATAGTTAGTTATCCAAGAAATGTTTGACAAGTGTTGTTCCACTATTACTGGTATTATATATGGTTTCTGATTTTCAGAAAGCACGAAAAACAAGCCAGTTTCCAACGTTATACATTTGTTACATTTCACATTGGTTGATTAAAAGTCGTATGTTATGCATGGAACACTTGGCTATTGTAATATACAAATTTGTTGCAAGGTCGAAATAAGGGCTGGTTACTGAAGTGCACATTGTTAGTAAATTCTAACAATGTTATGTGATTGATTGACAATTTTTATTGAATTGAATCCCAAATTTCTGTATTTGCACAGATGTAAGAAAGCTGTGCTCATAATTTTCGATCGTATAACACAAAAAACACGTCCGACTGTTTCGAAATTCTCATTTTGTGTAATAAATATTTAGGAATTTAAAATGCAGGGATTTAAAATTAAAGATTCTGAACTATATGCCTCTTTTAATGCCATCATTATGTTTTCCTTTTTAGATATATTGTTTAACTTTTTGTTCCGCTAGTCGACCAAAGTTTGTTACAATACTGACAAATTAAAAACTTTTCTGATGGATTGCAAATCTGATAGAAAGGGTTGTATCGTCTGTATTGTTGTAATTGTTTTGTCCGATGTAACAATTTCATTGATTTCGTGGTTCGTATTCTGTTTGCAAGAATTTGTGCTACGAAAAAAAAAATGGCAGTTAAGGGGACATTGGCCTCGTTGTAAAATGTGAACCTTGTTTTAATCAAATTAGTACAATTTCTCAAATAGTTAAATTCTCACGCGCTTGCAACAAACTGACAGATCCTATTGTATCAAATGACTTATCGTAGTCTAAAAGATAATTGCCAAAATCTTATAAACGGCGTATCGTTTTTTGTTCTGTAGGGTCACTTTACAGCACTTTCTGGCAGCAAAAACGTGTATTTCTTTGGACAGGACTTTCTGTGGCTTGCCATAAGTTGACCAGGTGAGATCGAAATACAAATTTAACAAAATGACAGATCCTATTGTATCAGACGAGTTTTCGTAGTCTAAACGAAAATTTCTAAAATCTTATAATCGGCGTATCGTTTCTTTCTTTAAGGTCAGGTTAACAGCACTTCCCGACGGCATAGACGTGCATTTCTTTGGACAGGACGTTCTGTGGCTTGCCATACGTTGACCAGGTCAGATCAAAATACAAATCCAATCATGACAGAAATGTTGTAATAAGGACACCCATTTTAATACTTTGGTTCGCATTTCCGACCGACCCTATTTGGGGCTCTCGACACCAGTCATTTTTGTTATTATCGCCGAATTTGTTTGGCACCCCAAAAAGCAATTAAAAATGTATAAATGAAAAACAAAATGATTATCAAATTCGGTGAATCAGGTTCTGTGTCATTTGAAAAGCTACTGCTAATAATATCCGATTTCAAGAGGAAGACCGCGAAAAGCAACAGATGCAGTCCAAGGAGATGCGAGGGTGTTGCCTGTCATAATATCAGCAGAAATCTTAATAAGCTGCATGATATAAATACAATGTAAGTCAACTACATCATGCCAAAGATGGCTTTACTATATCAGGCCTCACATTGCCCCTCTTCATCAATGAATTTTTTTTATTAGCTTTTCAAAAATCAAAAGCTAGGTTTGAAGGATTTCTTAGCGCAAAATACAGGCAATTATAGGTCTTGAGGATGCAAAACCGTGCAAAGATAGGGAATTGCTAATACCTTAAGCTCTTTACATTAGAAAAACTTAAAAAAATATTTTTTTTGCCGACCTACCAACATAACTTCAGGGGTCAAAAAGCTGCGAACCATGGATATTAAAGGGACGCCCTCATGTTAACTCCGTTACAGTGGTGCCTGTGGTGGCATCCTTTAAGGAAACTGTTAATGAATGTTTTATTTAAATGATCGACATACTGGCTAAAACAAGAAAGGGTCAAATTATCCTTTGGTCTTGCCTATTTCAGGGCTGGAGCATAACTCTTGCAAAAGGGGAGCACAAGAGCCAAACCTAGCAAAACTGTCTTTCAAATATTATTCGTGCTTCACGTGATCATGTATTTCAGGTTGTACTATACGAGAACAGAATTTATATAGGTTTTGCTTTCCATTGCGTGGCCGTGGCTTGTATTTGCAAGAGGCGGTATATTTGACTTGATAAGCTGAATTCCTGTTTCTGCATTTTAGAGTTAAAATAAAAGAAAATCTTTTGTGGTGATCCGAGGTACTTAAAAGGGTCCAACTTTCCCTTTAGCACCAAGAATTTGAGATCGAGGGAAGTGGTCAAATATTAAGGTACTTACCAAAAGCTAGATACCTTCCTTTTTAATGTCTGGGGATTTTAAAGATTTTTGGTAAGGTGTGGCACAGCTGTGGAATGTATAATGACTTAGCAGGCACGCAGACAAATTACTTTAAACAGTTGACGGAAAAAATAGCCTTAAGTTCAACGCTCGACTGCAACTTCTAGTGACATTTCAAACTTCAGCACTACCTATTAAACAAATCCAGCCCTATAAAAAGGAGTTCTTTTCTATTTACTTTTTTTTTTAAAATTACCTAACTATATGATCACATACTTTAACCTCAAGGATACACTGTAAAAACGGTGCCAAGCGTTTAAACACTTTTTATACACCTTTCTTTTTACATTTTTCCCCTGACTTTTTAAGACTGAATTGCACAGTATAAAAGCCTGCTTGTGCCATCAAAAACCACATGTAAAAAATAAAGTTTATATTTTTAATTTCGTTTTTTTTTGACAGATGATAAAAAGAGTGGGATAAAAATGTGTATTAATCCTGTCATTCGACTTGAACCCCATAATAATGTTAACTTTTGCAATACATTCTTGATGGTACGTAGACAGTCTTTCGTACGTGCCTAAACATGTCACAGACATCTACAAATCGAAACGTATCTAAGATTCATACCTGTGAATTTTGTTAATTAAAACTAAGTGTTTAGGATGTGTTTCCCTCTAAACAGTATTTAAAGTGTTGAATGAAAAGGATAATAAGATACCTATTTCGCTACTAAAACTTTTTTTTCTAATATTCCAAATGTTAGTTTCTGCAAACTGTTTGCGATTCCATACAGACGGTCATGTTTTTACCACAGATGCATCGTTTTACCCTAAATTGAACCTTATATTTCAGTATACCGGCTCTTAACACAACAAAGAGAAATTATGACGTCTTAAAATTTTGAGAATCTCTCTGGTTTTTAAATTTATCATGAAATAGACGCTTTTCCAACAACGTTGTTTTGGAAACGCCCGTAAACGACCCACATTTGTGGCAACTCCACTCATTTATTTGAATCCAGTATGGCTACTCGGTTGTTAAAGTCTTGAAAAATTGTCATTTTTTCCCCAGAATGAAGCCTGTAATGAAGATACCTCTTTTCTGGATGGTCACTTTTATGGCTTTTGTTTTACCAGCAATGCTGGTGTCTGCTCTGGATCTGCAGTTACCTGGTAACAATCAGCCTCGATGCGCTGGGATCTCAAGAGGTAAACACTTTGTTCTTGGCTTTATTGATGGTTACGGTAGCAGAGACATCGCATCCAGGGAGCTGTTTATTTTGGTGGTGGCGTTCAGTTATCAGCAAACGACAGTCACCATCAGTAGCAAGCACGAAATAGCAGGGAAACCATTCCAGGAAACCTTTGTGATCGATTCAGGTGGATTTATCAGGACCAACATACCAGTTGAACTCTTGATGGAAAACACTGAGAGAAGCCAAAAGGTGCTGGAAATTTCAGCAAGCTCTGATGTTTCTGCTTACGGGCTGATGTATCAATATCGCACCACTGACGGTTTTCTCGGTATACCCACAAACAATCTCGGCATGCAATACGTGGTGACGACGTCAAGTCCAAGAGTTGACCACCGTTCGCAGTTCGCTGTACTTGGGACAGAGGAGTCCACTTTGGTCCAGGTTACTTTACGAGGAGCTGTAACATTCGAAGGACAGAGCTACAGTCCGGGTGATGTGTTGGGATTCACTGTCGATGACCTAGAGGCCGTTCAAATCCAAGGTAATAGGTTGGTAGATTTAACGGGAAGTATCATTCAGAGTGACAAACCAGTTGCTGTGTTCAGTGGCAATGAATGCACAAACCACGCCGGTTCATTTTGTGACAGGGTGACTGAGCAATTGGTACCCGTTAAGAGCTGGGGACAGAAACACATCTACACCGCAGCCCGAAGTGACGATGACAACATCTACCGCATTGTTGCTTATTTCAGCGAAACTAATCTCACCATCCCCGGTCTTGAACACCGGTTGTTGGGACCGGGACAATTTTGGGAAGGGCGTCTTTCGGGTTCCGGCCTCGTTAGGTCAAGCAAACCAGCTCTAATGATGCAGCAGTTGGCGTCCATCAATGGTATCACAGTCGACCCCTCCATCATTCAGGTTCCTGCAGAAGAACACTTTGGTTTTGTGTTTCGATTCACGACACCTCCTTATTCTGGAGCTGATTCCGGTGGTGGTTACTACAATTTCATCAATATCATTGTGAAAAATGAATCTCGACAAACTGTGCATCTTAATAGTTTTCCCATCAACGGCACCAATGCGCTTGTAAGCGATGTTCCTCACACTAGTTACATATCGCTTACAGTTCAACTTCCAAAAGGTGAAGGTGTCTACTACGTCGAGCAAACAGATCCGTATTCATCACCCCTGTCTGTCATTGTCTATGGATATGGATTCCAACAAACCTATGGCTATGCCGCTGGTCTGTCTCTCCCCAGCAATAAACAACTGCTGAGTTTGACACCGTACTATTTGCGAGAACTTGGTGGCGAGCTTTTCACAATGACTGTTCCCTGTTTGCAAACAAATGCTATATCTTTTCAAGACGCCAAGTGCAAATTTTCCACTGGCTTTGGAGACGTCATTGTTTCTGGTGAACGCACCGACTCTTACACCGTTGTCTGTATCACCCCAACCTTTTACAAGAACGGACTTACATCTGTCTACGCATCACTTGACGACGGCGAATCATTTCCATACTCCGGCATTGTGTACGTTGCATCTGAAGAGGATCTACCGCCACTCGTTCAAATACAACGGGTGAATTCTATGTATGGAGATGGCATCATTGATCTAACCTCAGATGATCCGATCGTGTTCTTCTGGGATCCTAGAAGTCTTGATGAAGGAGTATCACATGTGACTGTTATGATGCAAGACACAGATTACGACAGCGATGGGAATCCAGTCTTGATGGAAGGTGTTGCTGTGAAGAGCAATGTCTTGAACAACGGTAGTCTGATGATATATCCAAGAGCCCTTCAATCCCTCACCAGTGATGGTTTGTCACTCACAGCATTTTATCTTACTCCGTCTGGATTGAGAAGACGAAGAAATGTGGGAGCTTTGTTGCGGCGCTTAAGATATTATGGTCCTGCTGCAATTATAGTTGGTGTTACTGCAATCACCTGTGAAGTTTCAAAGTACCAGTTAAAGAAAAATGTGCCTACAGGACTGCCTTCATCTCCTTGCAACACAGAACAAGCTGACCGAGACCAGAACTTCCAGGAGGCGAATTTTGCGAATTGGTTCTTCCATGAGGGTGCCGAGAAATGTTATCGGTCTGTTAATTCATTACCAACTGGAGCAGGTCAACAAAGTTGTTACGGAACAGACGGTAACATCCTGGCAGTTCCGCCTGGGGGAGGAACAGCCGATAGGTACAGTCCAGGAGAGCATTTCTGGAAGCATCAATGGTTCGATGTTCTTCCTTGGCTTTGCTTATGCAAACTGTCAAACAACTGTAAAGAATATTACAAGTACAGGCCATCGGATGATTGTTCTGACTACGACCCACCTCGACCGGCTGGGGGCACTGGGGATCCCCATCTCACAAGTCTGGATGGGTACAAGTTCACCTTCAACGGAGCCGGGGAATTCCTGATGGCGTCATCTGCAGTACATAACTTGACCTTTCAAGCCCGTATGGAGAGGTACCGCAACACCAACGCATCTGTGTACACGGCATTTGTTCTCCAAACCAACGATTCCTCAAAAGTCCAGGTACAGATGTCTAACATGAACGAGACACTGATTCTTGTAGATGGTGAGCCGTTGCGTCTTGACTCCATCCCAGTCAAAGTTCATCACCTCAGAGGTGTTCGGATCCGCTTCAACTCTGAGATGACCAAAATCAACATAGCATTCAGTGCTGGCATCGCTGTCACCGTGTACATAGATACCGAGGTGATGTCTTTCATCGTTCAACTTTACACTCATTTCCAGGGTCGAGTTCAAGGACTTCTTGGAAACCTAAACGGAAACCCAGATGACGACCTTCAGTTCCCAAACGGAACCATTCTGGAGCCTGGTTCTTCGCTGAAGGAACTTCACGAGTATGGTTTGGAGTGGTTGGTGGCTCAAGAGGAGTCCATATTCACCTACAGTTCCCCCTTTGACTACAGCACATACCACTTTCCTGAGTTTTCCCCGACCTTCGAGATTCCTGATCTGAACGAAGTGAGTCAGGAAATCAAGGATCTGTGTGGTGATTCCATTGAGTGTGTCTTTGATGCGGTAATCACCGGCAGCATGTCTTTTGCTAACGAGACTCTCATGGTGACAGTCACAATAACTGAAGTCCAGAAAGGATTGGTCAAGATTGTCAGTTGTGGCTACCCGGGTGATGTGGAGAACGGATTGCTGTCCGGGTCTGTGTATTTCGTGAATGCCACTGTGGATGTGGCTTGTGATGATGGCTTCACCTTGACAGGGTCTTCCAAATTGACCTGCCTTGAGGATGGTCAGTGGTCGTCTGATCTCCCTGTTTGTGCTGTCGACTGTGGCTACCCGGGTGATGTGGAGAACGGATTGCTGTCAGGGTCTGTATATCTCGTGAATGCCACTGTGGATGTAGCTTGTGATGATGGCTTCACCTTGACAGGGTCTTCCAAATTGACCTGCCTTGAGGATGGTCAGTGGTCGTCTGATCTCCCTGTTTGTGCTGTCGACTGTGGCTACCCGGGTGATGTGGAGAACGGATTGCTGTCAGGGTATGTATATCTCGTGAATGCCACTGTGGATGTGGCTTGTGATGATGGCTTCACCTTGACAGGGTCTTCCAAATTGACCTGCCTTGAGGATGGTCAGTGGTCGTCTGATCTCCCTGTTTGTGCTGGCATGGATAATGGCGAGGAGGGAGGACTAGCTCCTGGTATTATAGCTGGTATTGTTGTTGGTGCCGTGATTGCTGTACTTGCAATCTGGGGTCTGATTTACATTTTCATCAAAAGTTTCAACAACAGAAGAAAGACTCGTCTTGAAACAGATACCACCGCACAAACCACAGTTTCTTTACAGCTGGATAACACTGTAGAGGTATCGCGAGAGCAGTGGTAATTTATTTGTTTGTTATCCCGATCATTATAGCCAAATCAACACACTAAGTAAAGTAAATTGGTAAAATTTTAATCGCGCTTATAATAGGTCGGGCCTAGACCTTAAAGCCAGCTTATCAGATAGAATTTCGCTCAGATTACCAAGACAACATATGAAGTGAATTGCTCAGATTACCTGCGTATAATAGCAAGGATAGGAGTCTGGATCTGATGCATATTTGTGTTATTGGGTGGTTTTAAGCAGTATAGTCCTCGTAGCTCTCGTTACACATGTACAGCGATTATTAGCCAAGGTGGGAGGTTAAATGTAGAATGTAAGAATATGAATCTTGTTAATTATAATTCATAACACAAACATTTAAATGATGTACTTCTTAAGAGGCAATCATGTTGTGAAACAGGTTCCTTTCAACAGGCAAGTCATATACTTTAAAGCGATAAAAAGAAACAAAACCCAAGCATTGTTTCAGTAAAAGTAAGCAGAATTTGTTATAAAATCAAGTAACCGTATAAATGGTTTGTTGTGAAAATAAATTGAGTTCTGAAAACAACAGTTATGCATGTTTCATATATCAACATGTTATGTATACCAATTTTTGTATGTAGAAATGATTGCTCTTGTTACGTCGTTACAATATACGGAATGTAGTTTTATATCGTTTATGAGCTTTATGATGTTAATGGCTGTATAGTGGTGTCTTAAACTTTGCTTAACGGAAACTTTACCAATAACTGTTTTCTTAGACTTTTCTTGAGAGTAAGTTTATTTTAAGATCTTTATAAGTTAATTGCAAAAGGTACTGATTGATTTCAGGATTTAATAACAAGAGAAAATATCGGCTCAGTTCTTCATTTTAGATTACACAGATTTTTTAACCACCGGTTGCGTTTGTTTACGTCTGTATATAGTGTTGGAATTTGAAATGTTCACTTAAAATCAAATATTGTAGTTATGTATAAATACTTAGATTGTGACTAATGTGGTTGAGTTAATTAATGAAGGGTTTTTAATCGAGAATGAAGACTGACAACTAGTTAAAGGAGCAGGACATGAATTTTGCTTGGGAACATAACTTTCTTTTCCTCTTAATACATGAAAATTATTTGAATTCCATTGTTGGTTAACATTGTTTCAAAGTGAACTTCTTTAAACATTTAAGATGTTCCATGCATTTGAGGGCGCTCTTGCTGTGTAGCCACTTCAGGAACACCCTCTTCAGCTTAGGGTTTTTCTGTTCAAATTGTTAAGCAAAAAACGAGCTCATTGAAAACGTTTGTGAGAAAAGTTTGCCCATTGACTTTATTACTGTTATGTATTGAAAAATCAACGAATTACCTAAAATATAAAACCCAAATTTACGACAACAAAATATCCAACATTCTGGCGACAGTTGGTGCTGAAATAGCTGTAATATTGTGGTTTCTGCCTAAAGTGACATCACGAATTTGCTCATGAATACGGAAATAGCAACAAAACCTTACAAATCTTAAGGTGAAATTACCCTTGAAAATGGCAAAATGAAAATTGAATATGAGCATAAACGACAAAAGTGCATCTTTAAGGACTGCATGAAAACATTATATATTTCACGGGCCCTCTAAAAAAGAAAACTGTTTTAGCCAAGATCACATCGATATTGATTACAGCAAATTAAACGCAATAGATAAAAGTTGAACAAGCCATTTTTTGGAATATGTAATTTTTACTGTCATCGTGAATTTTTTCTCGAAGGTTTATATGGACAAACGCAACATTTTACTACTATTGGATTTATGAACACTTTTGAAATTACTACAGTGTATGTACACTATTTACGCTAACGAATTACAGCGCAGTAGATTTAAAGACTTGCCCAGTATTATTGATGGGCAGGAATAGATATCATTTATTGGAAGGCTATTATAATGTACATGGCGTCCTCAGTAAAAAAAAAAAAAGTTTTGATGTCGTTGAATTATGCTCAGATTTGGAAAGTTGTCTTGTAAACGATTGCATTAAAAGGTTTTAATTTAAACTTACTGAAATATTGCATTTAACACAAAATATTTTCCTTTTTAAGTATTACAGCGAAGTAGATTTAAAGGCAATTAATTATAATTGAGTGTGTGGGATATGATATCTTTGGGTTTAATTAAATATGCAAGGTGTACTTACGTAAATGTTTTTATTAAAATGTGCAGAAATATTGCATTTTCCACACAATATTATCGCTTTTAAGTATATCAGCGAAGTAGATTGAAGTATAATTCAGTGTACGGGATATTATATCGTTAGGTATCATTTTAATGTGCAAGGTGTATTTGCCTAAAGGTGTTTGAATTTTATTACAATGTGCAGAAATATTACTTTTGCTATAAAATACATTTCCCGCTTAGAGGTATTACAACCAAGTAGATTTAAAGGCCTTCGAGTGTTCTTTTGGATTTCATATCAATGTTAAAATAAGTTGAACACCAAGATGTACTTAACGTTGAGTTAACTTTGATGGTACTCAGATTTGAAACGAAAAATTGCAAAGGTTTGCTTTTAAAATGGCATGCACGCAGAATATATATATTTCGAAAGACAACTAAACGTTTATCAATCGAGTGTTCATTATCATGAGTTGAGTGTTTGTGATTCGTCAACAAAAATAAATTCAATTCGAAGGGAGATTAAGAACAGCCAACTACATGTATAATTGTATTTGATAACTTCAACGCATCATCTATCCCCCACACTTCTTAATCACCCCCTTTCAACAATCATGGATCCGCCTCTTTGATTTTGAAAACTCCAGTGACAGTCATGTTGTGCATTGCAGTGCCATGCAACAGATTCAGGTAACAAAGATTTCCTAATCCAGATTAGTTTTCTTAACGCGTGAGAAAGGTGCAGCTTGTTGATTCTACGAAGTAAGCAATCCAATTGATAATGAAATTTCAACGACTTCATAAAATTACAAGGACTTGCGTCACCATCATTGGTCTACCTGATTATTCAAACACAGGGGATTTCCCCTTAAAAGTGCTGCCATCCTTCTAATCTCTTCAAGGTCATAGTTTAACACTAGACTTGGAATATAAACAGTGTCATCTAGCAGTCAGCCCCCCCCCCCCAGATCCCTCCCCCAATTAAAACAGACCTTACCATATACGGGACTATCAGGATAAAGATCGGCCAAATGTAACAATCAATCTCCCACAGGTAAGGTATAGGCCTAGGCCTAATGAGGAGATCAAAAAACCGTGGATCTGTGAAACTGTACCGGATAAAAAACTGTACCTGTAGCCAGGAAGGATTGCCAAATGATATTTCAACACTATAGCAGAACTGTAGCTATTGAGGGGGTAGTAACAGGTTTTAGGAGATAGATTCTTGGGTAAACAGGCCAGATAAGCTTTAGGAACCGAGGAGAAAAATCGAAAGATAACAAGTCATATATCATACGTAGACCTATATTTCACAAATTTCCAGGAAAACGATCTGCCAAATTTAACAATATCGAAATGTCAATGGTCATTCAACCAAAAATTGAAAAGACAAAAATGAAAGATGACAATGTTGATCATCATTTTTCTGTGTAGCCTGAACACATGTGAGAGTTTTGAGTTGTGAATATTTTAACTATTTTTAAAAGAATTTTTAATTATTGGGATTTATTACTTGTGTATATGGTAATTTTTTTATACTGCACCCTATAGACTTACAAAAATGAGGGTTAGGAAGAGCTGGAACTCAATTTACACATGAGGGCGCTATTGACCAATCCGTAGGCAGGAATACGTATTAATCGCTGTGTGTGTGTTTTATGTCGCAGCTTCAAAGACAAACATGCAAGTTTAGTTTGAAAATAATTGCCTTTTCTCAACCGAACTGCTTCGGTTGAGAAAGAAGAGGCGTTTTTTTCATGCCAAATAAAAAGTTGAACACCCAGTCTTGTTTGGATGTAGGTTTAGCTAATTTGTTACACGTAACAATATAGCGGTGTGATGTGCCACACGGCCTATTCCCTACAATACCTGGGAGCTTATCATTGCAGTGTTAACATAAACGTGTGTTAACAAGTATCCCGTGACATTCAACACGGATTATACAAACCGCATGTTCAAGCGGTTGGAAAAATAATTGATTGCAATTTACTATTGGATATTCAACATTCAAAAGGTGGATATTCTTTGATTAAAATGGTTCCCACGCTTTGCGTCCACGCTCATTCGATTAATTGGGGTTACGACCATGGATTAGGAGTACCTGCACAATAATAAATGTTCAAAATGCACTTGGTTATTTTGTTGTTATTACACCATATTTAGACTGACACTTTTTTGGAGACATACCATTTATAGTAATCATCCGAGGCCTGTTAAAAAGGATTACTGCCCCCGAGTTCCAGCACACAGAAACGCTGTAGGAGGATCATGAAAACAATCTGTCATTCACCCTTAACGCATTTCCCCCCTTCAAAACCCCACAGTGCGTAAGTAGTCTGTAGTTATGTAATAATCACTTTCTCCAAACCGATTTTCCGTAACAAACGCAGATTTTGGATTCCCTGTCTATTTAAGCGCACACTTGCTGTCCTAATCAATGGAATAGATGCTGTCCTGCTATAGAGTCTATGATAACGCGTGAAGTTTATGCAAAACAGCACTACTTCTTGACCTCAAGATTCTGACCAGTCAGCGGGCACCTTCTATCCAGTCTTAGGTAACCCGATGCTGTATGACCAATCAACAGCTTTGGCCGAATTTCTGCTCTAAGTGACGTCACAACTTCGAAAGGCCTGCATATAGGGTTGCATGAATTTACATGTTACATGCACTGGTATATCAGACGTTCGTATATAGTGTGGCCCTAGCACACGTGAACGTCTGATCGTCAGGCATTGACGTCTAGGATTCTGACAACTCTTTGTTAGCTTTGTGGTGTTATTTGTTCATTTCAGATCAAATGATAATTGCCACTGAGTTGAATGCACTTTGCACATTTGAGCTGAGAACGGGTCAGAACCAAAGTCACAATGTGTTTATTTTTAACTCTTTATTTGGTGGGGCGTTGTTTTGTTCTCACGCTAACCAGGTAACGTTTAATGTGTGCTGAAATGTCATGTGACTCAGCAGCATATAGCTTTGGACCTTGGCCAAGTTCGGAAGCAGACAAAAATGCAACAAAAGAGAGAAGTGTAAATCCCAGGGAAGCAGAGCAGCCTCATTGTATGTTTGTCTGGGGACTGACTTAGCACGAATAGTAAAAGGTGTCCCAATAAACATGTGCATGAAGAAATGGCAAAATTTCTCAAAAAACAACTCAAAAACTACTTCGCTGATCTTGCTCAAATTACAACTGATCAGTACAAAAAATCCTTGGCAATCCAGCCATACTCTTTGTTTGGCCGAAAACAGTGACAATGTGTACAAAATGATGCAATTTATGACACGAGGTACCGAAAAAAGTTGCACTGTTGCACACTTGAACTGGGTGAGTTTGAACCGCAACATGAACGTATACAAAAGTACAACTGTTTCAGTATCATTTGTCATAAATTGTATAAATTCGTACACATTATTACCGTTTTGGGCCAAATAAAGAGAATGGCTGGACTGTTAATCAATTTCTGCACTATAGTCGTACGTTATTTGAGCGAGAGGTGCTCAGTAGTTTTTGAGTTAGACAAAAGAGTATTGGAAGGGGGAAACCTTCTTTTTGGTTGAAGTGTAGTACGACACAGCACCTCACACTCCACATTTCAAATGTCTATTGCTATGTTAACTTGCATAAGCCACATTACAATATTACAAACTTTGCTAAGATGCGTCCTTTGCTAAGATACGTTATGATTCAAGTTCTGTTAAAACACAATAACTATGTTCAGTTAAAGCACAATAATAACACTCTTGTAATATTATTGAAGTATAGGGCCTACAATGCCTGGATCTGTCTTGAACTACAAATGCAGACACCTGTAATTACTTCAACACAAAAACCCTCTACTGTGTGATTTCCATTGGGGTGGGTTACAATTAGCTTTTGAAGGGCTGTGATATCTCTGCATTTAACCCCTGCACGAAGCCACTCTGGTTACAGCTGCCACAAATAACATAAATATTCATGGTGAACCCCTAGCAACAAGACCAGCCAGACTTCCGTTCAACTAATCCTGTTGCTAGCTATCAGTCATCACCTCGTGACCCCCGTTGCCATCAGTTTACCGGACTTTACCCTCTACCTGAATACCACAATACAAGGGACCTCTGTTACAACTGATAATGTAGTAACCAACCGATAACGTATCACCAACCGATAATGTATCACATATTGACCGATATTGTATCACTAACCGATAATGTACCAAAAATTGACTGATAGTGTAGTAAAATTTGTATCCGATAATGTATCACGTGTCGACGGATAATGTAACTACAAAATAAGTGTATCCGATAATGTATCACCACGGAACGGATACTGTATCAACCGATAATGTATCAAAAATCAACCGATAATGTATCAGTATTGGGAAAAGGTGGAAATATTGCAAATTAATTAAAGTCTAATAAGTGCCTTTACTATGATAAGTCCCCACTCGAGAAAGTTTATCATTAAGAATATTTTTTTTTTTTATTTGGGAGGTAGGGAGTTGCTCTGGTTTGGAGACGCTCTACTTCCAAGTGGGCCTAGGCTAGTGGCGTATCCAGCTTTTGATGTCAAGGGGGGGGGGGGGTAACCGCACTCGCACATCCGCGCCGAAATGTGGACAAGTCCTTTTCTCCGGGCACTTGGCCTC